TAGGGTGGATGGAAAGCTTTCTTCTATACCGGCGCCTGGAAGTACGAGTGCGTGCATTGTTGTCAGTTCCCATCCGAGTTGAATGCGGAGTACCACAGGGATCAGTACTTGTACCACGATTATTTTTGACCTAAACTAACCATATCGCAAGCATCACAGGCTCAAAATGCCTTCTTTATGCCGATCACATCAAGGTGTGGTGAGTGATCAATGCACCGGACGATACCACAGTAGTTCAAACTGATTTGGATAGGGTATACGTGTGGGCAATTCAGAGTGTACTTCGATTCAATGTGGAAAAATGTAGAGTATTGCACCTACGGCACAAGTTGGTGTACTGTTACAAACTCGGTAACCAGGAGCTTCAAGCGTCTTCTGGTGAAACGGATCTGGGAGCTTTTTCCTATGTCTACCTCGGATGTTCGAATTAGACTGAAACGGCGTCAAGGCAGGGTTTTCAACAAGTGAACTTCCTGAAGCGTTCATTCGGACAATACAACCCTTCGATTTTTCCACAACCTTTTGATTCATACGTAAGGCCACACGTGGAATAGGCGCTAAAGTTCTGGTAGTAATGGCTGAAGATGGTTCTCACCACCGTGGAGGTACCCCAAAGCCGGGTAACCAGAAATCAAAGGTCTACATAATTTGCCGAATGAACGAATGCTACAAGTGCTCGGGGTCTTCAGCGGACGGTATGGGCGGTTGCGCGGGGACGTCATTTTGACTTACCAAATATTGTGTTATCCCAACCATCTTCCGCAATTTGCTATAGCTCAGTCACAACAACAATTTGAGGCCGCCATTTCAAGTTGGCAGAGCAGCGCAGTCGTTTGGAATGCCGTCGGAATGTCTTTTCCCTACGCGTCTGCAGAATGTTGAATGCCCTACCGGAATCTGTCATCTGTGCTCCCACGCTGGACTTCAACGATCGAGTTGACAGTGCCAAGTTATATGACTCATTACTCATGCATAAACACAAGTATCTGTAAGAAATTTCATTAGCGGTCAAATCCCGGATTTCGTTACATATTTTCACCTCCTCTATGTGTACACCAGGAGTAGACACGATTTGTTACCAACATCCCATTTACCGTCATTCCTTATGAATTTACCTTAGATTTACAGCTTATACTACCTATACCTCAGTGAATTCACTGGTGTAAATCCAAATACGCCATCAATCTTTTTGATATTTTGAAGATTCACCGTAGCTATCCTAAGGGACCTGATAAGCATTAACTATTTTATCCGTATAAAACCATTGTTCCATATTCCGTAGAGACGCTCTGTACAAAATATCTTTGGCTGCACATTGCCAAGTAAACTGCATTACCTTAACTTCTTACACTTTCTAATGCATCGGCGCTTCGCAAATATTCTTTTACTCATTTGAAATTGTGTTTTGAAATGCAAATATCGGTTATTATCACCCTGACTCAGTGAAATCCCGAGAACAAATGACGATTAATCACCGAAGGATATGACCGGAATGTTTGAACTGGTAAACTTTTCAAAACGGACACAAATAAAGCCTTTCTATTAAACAGTAGTAAACGTTCTACGTTTAAAAGCTGTCAGTCCCTGTTACGCTTGGCGGCATCCGGTCCCAGATGGGCTTGTAACCGCAATTGCCAACAGCCAAAGGATGCCTGCACCTACTGAGGGACAATGAGAGGCTTGCGCTGTACCACCCACAGCTCCATCCACACACTCATTTATCCAGTGTAAACTTGAAGGAATAAGATCGGGAGACATGTGGATGATAGATACGAGTGATTCAGAACCTACCCACAAACCTACAGCATGCACAACATTTTACTGACATTCAGGGGGTGCGTGCACACCAGACGTGGATGGGCTGTAGACAGTTCCACACAAGATGAAACCACTCTTTTAGCTACACATGTCAGGAAGAATGTGCACCTTATATCGACCCACAAAAATTAACAGTCTTTTGGGGTTAGTAATCGAGGTGGTTGTTTTCCACAAGTAGGCTCCTGTCATCACAGTAGGATCTTGAATATTATTCAGCGGCCGAAAGGAAGATACTCCGTGACACGGTCTCGATGCGCTCAGTGGGCCTGCGGCATGTCAGGCAGAAAGGTGACAAAATCAGTTCATCGACATGACACGCTACGCGGCCGGTATGAGCGCGACTACAGCTGGCCAGGGGAGACCGACAGCTGGCTTGAAGCTGTCTACTAGACTAGTGACATGAGTCAGCCCAGAAACGCATAGCAGGAGATGAGGGCACGCGATCTGTAAAGTTAAACGTGTTCTGTTCCTAACCCGTTTTGGTCTGACAGGTCACAGTCTTCTGTTTATCTTGGCTGGGTTGGCGGACCAAAGAGTAGAAGCAAGAGCAGTGTTGTAGTACTTATCAAACAACAAGCGAAGCAAAGCAGGCAACTTACCCACACAGGCGCATGTACACGCCACTATCAGCGACGATACAGCACATCTGCCACATCTGTATCACGTTGGCATGGGTTAGTTTAATGGAAGAATAGGCAAAGTACTTGCCACCTGTTGACAGTTAGTCATTCAAATGACCCGTCGCCTCTTCGAGATTAGCTCCTCATGGCCACGTTGGTAACCTACCTGAACTACTCAGGTAAAGCATGCAACATTGTCGTCATTTCATGAACCTTAACGGGAAGCATACAAAGCGTCTCCCTCGATTGACAGATGAGAAGTAATCTCACTTCTAGTTGACATACCATCCTACTTGGCGAGCTTTCGCCTTTTAGCCCAAATGAGTATGGGTTTCAGTGGAATAGGACCTCGACAGTCATGCATGATGCAGGAGTCAGTAGTTTTGGTACTTACAGTTATCACCGCATCCGTCACTGTATATCCTAGAGGTCGTTGAACCTTTTGGAATGCAGGAGAAATCACCAAGCAGGCACTGAACATAGTGTAACTAAATGGATTACCAGGCACGAACTGAAACGGAACATGCGTGCTGTCAAGAATACGTGGTGGATCAGTAGGACTCAAGAAATAGCGGAAGCGAGAGAAGTAGGCAATTACTGCAAGCTCCCCCAACAGATTCGTATCATTGGTGCTAGGAAACCAGGCAACTGTGAGGAGGTCAGACAGCGCTAGTTCTCTGATTTTCAATGAAGACCGCTATCTGCCTGGTTAAGCGAAGCGAATTCCAGAACAGTTCAGTTGATATTTTGTTCCCGGAACTCTTCCTGCCCAGCTAGTGCGAGCTAAACAGTAGCTGGTTAGCTTAGAGGCGCTATTGGAGGCTGAGATGACATTTTAATTCGTCATGGACTACATCATAGAATGTTCCTTCGCGGAGTCCCACAGCGAGGAATTTGAAGCACTGACCGGTGGAAATCTTGCTGATCTTGTTTATGCTGACGGCCTTATCTTGCTGCTTATCATCTGTAGAATGACATAGTCAACCCTATATAACCTCTTTATATTGCTCCCATCATTCGGCATACGCTTCACAGAAACTTGATGATCTCTTAACCATTGGTAGCGAGTAACCCCAGGTATTTGATGAAGTCACGAGGAGCGTGTAACCAATGAGGATTTTCTATTGCAAACGCCAGGTAGTCTTTTTGAATCTGGGACATCAGTGGCGTCAGAATTGAATTTGTAAATGAATCTGCCCGCTGCGTGGTTGTGATGCACAGTTGGATTTGCGTTATTCTGAAATATCGAGTGTGCAATCTCCCGGCCTGGGCGTCGTTTTCTGTTTTAATAAGGCGACTGTTTTAATCTGGGTATATGAAGCTCGTTTAATCTCTTGATCATACTTGTCTGCGAATGGCTGCTGGCGTCGGATGGCAACATTGTAGCTACGAAGACGATATGCCTAGGCCAGGACTGGGCAGTGAGGATCAGGCTAATTCCTTAGAACAGCAGATAGAACTGAATGAGTTGTGTTGTCTGGGGCGTTTGCTGGGTATATCTGTCACTGATTACCGAGAGCGACCTTGGTTTTTTTAAGCAGATGAAGGTCAGCATAAAGCTGAACATGAGCGGAAGTTAACTTGGGAGCGAAACTTGAAGGCACTGACTACAAATCTGGGTTATGTTGGTCCGCCTCATCTTCCAGACTTGAGTCCGTGTGACTCGTTTTATATTTGGCAAGAGACTTCCGAGGAAATAGTTCATATCAGGCATCTGTGTTGCCACTTCTGCTATATATTTTGAGTACCTGTATAAAATGTGTGTCACTGAGCAATCTACATGTTAAAGGTTGATTATGACGCACGGAAGGAAATCCACATCTCGATAACCGAAGCGGTATTATCTCCACACTATATCCAGCTGATTGTGACAGTATGTTGTTAACGAGATGCAGGCCTCTTGACCCTAGTGTTTGCTCAGGATGGTTTGATACACACTCGAATTGTTTTTGCTTTCTCTTCATTATTTTTCGATTATTGTGGTCGTAAAGCAGTGAGGCACCATCTGGAACAGCTGATGTACCGCTTTGGTTGTTATGATGGTGGTAGGTGATGTAATCACGATCATTGGTGAAATCGTGAAAATGACGAACACTTGACTACCGATTTTCATCTCTTCCTTTTTTTGCATTAGCGCAACATCGTGCTCTACATCATCATCAATCTATGCCATGAAGACTAGTTCATTTAGCTTTACGAAGGACTCGATTCTCTGTCATTTCAGCTTCCTTACTAAGCGGGGAAATTTAGTCACCTTTTTAGAAGACTCATTTACATTTAAATTTAGCAGAATAACGGCGGTAATGATTAAGGAAGAACACTAATTTATCTGGAGGCATTTCGATCACAGCAACAGAGTAAGACCAAATTATGTTTAAGGGATTCTGTCCATTTCCACACCGGAAACTACTTTTACAATACTTGTTCCTACAAATCTTCCTTGTGCAAAGAGCACGGAGATCCAATGAAGTCAACCTTGTCGGCTGAATTCTCTTTTTATGTTGGCTTCCATGTTGCTTATTTTGAAGTGGCGTCTCGTGCTCGAGCGAATGTCAAACAAAGATGCCAACGTGTCCCAGCTACTTTTTCATCTCTCGTTATATAGCTTATCGCAGAATGCCAAGTGCAAGAACGAAGGAGAGAACAAAGCCAGCGGACTCATCTGGCATGGATTCTTATTTGAAGAAAATGTTTGACATTTTCGCGCTTCAAGATAATAAATGTTTGATGACTCATCTAGACAACCCAAAACAACTTACCGATTCATTGAAATCTTGTTTGATAAATCGTCAGCTAGTGCCAACTAGGCCTTCAAGATCCTTACCCCCAGTCCAACACGGTTCAGAATGTAGGCAGGTCTGCACAGTGGAAAACGATGATTCAACCACTGCAGTAGCAGTTCCAGTGAGTTTAGCGGAAGAAGTCGATTTGTGGGACGCTGCAGTCCTGGATTATTTTATGGAGGTTGTCTTTTGGTCCGTACATGAGTGGGTAACAATCACGAACTCGACCGTGTTCAAAGATACTGTGGCTACTCAGATTGATGAAGCCGATGTTGAAGCCGCAAGCTTATGCGTTGCAATGACCATGGCACATCTCATGCTGAGTCACTTGCAACTTCTGCACAAAAATCCTTTAAAAATATCAAAAGACCGAAATGAGGATTGCCCTAATGGATTCAATCAATCTGAGAATATGATCGCAAGCATTCGCTTCATCAAATCGCTCTTCCAATGTAATCGAGATACGAGATACATGTCGAATCCAAACGAAACCAATAAATCGGATGATGAGAAAATATTGCATGATTTTGAATCAAAGTATTTTGGTATCTTGTCCATCCTGACTTCAAAAGCCGCATCATCATTAGTGCAGTTTTTCACAAAGCACTTTCTTCAGATTTATAGGCTTCTGCGAAACACGTTTGGTATGGGACACGGAAGGAAACAAGAAGTGGTAAGTTCTTTGAGGAATTCCAATGTTCCTTATAGTAAAAGCAAGGTGGTTTACGTCTTAAGCTGTGGAAAGATTTTATAAAGAATTGGACTTGGGCTAGTTCACGTTGATAATACCTGATTCTCGGTGTTAATCTGTTTACCTTCCTCTACCTTCACTGCTCACATAACGCTGTGTTTACTGCGGAAGAAAGTTGTTCTATTGGCCAACCTCCCTATCTGAGTTGTTCAGTTTGCATATGTAATTACCCTGACGCTTAGCCACAAAGATCCTAGATTCATTTGACTCACACTGCTTATCGATGTGTTTGTAATCTGCTTGATAAAAAAATAAGCCTTTTATATTAGTATAGAGTAGCAACTATGTATAAAGAGATATGAGATAGGTCAGTTGGTCATTTCCACACTTATTACAGTTTAGGTACATCAAAGCATAGAATAAATCAGATGGATTAAATGCTTGATGATATATTTGCGGATGACTGCACTGATTAATATACTTTTGACCAACCCTCATAGAAAGAGCGCTTACCTGCATTATGCGGCCTTTTGTGATCCGTGTAGATATAAGCGCCTACCGTGTACTGCAGTTGTGACGTCAAAAGATGAAGAGTTAAGTCTATCATTGGCGCTAGTAGCTGAGGCTTAATGATTGCACCGAACCCGTTTGAGTAGTAAAGAATATTGCTTGCAATTATGGTCTGTTCGGTCTTGTGTATGCGTAGGATACTGGACCAAATACGATCAGAACATTCGAGGCGAAACTGGCCATGGAGGGTGCAACTGCAAGTACTCACTGACGCAAAGGACAGCACTCGTCATCTTCCGAATATACACTAAGAACTCATTAAAATAAGAACAGAATAAAACACCATTGTCACAGTGACTAGCATTATAAACATGGAAGCTGAGATTACGTAGGTCACATTCAATGCAAATTTAGCATTCTTTAAACTCCACCTGTTTACCTTGAAACTTCAAAACACCCGAAAGTTGGAATTGGAGTTTGCAGGAAGCATACTGAATATTAGAAGTATGTATCAAACTCCCATGAAGTGTTACAGTTTACCTAAAGTTAAGCAAGGTCCATAGGACCAGAGCCGCCTTAACAGCTAATCAGCAATATCATGTGAACGCAATGTGTAACGTACACAAATACGCCATCGAAAAACCCAACTAATTCATTTATTACCAAGCCTGTGGAGAAGAAAACCATTACATATATTCTTGTAGATGGATGATAGACTTAATACTCGATATATTTCCTAATCTTTACCATACTTTCTGGTGACGCGAGGAAGTTAGACGCGCTGATATGTCTATCAAGATCAGGCACCTTTGTATGAGAACAAGAATCCCAACGAATCCTTAAAGAGCCAGCTATAACTAACTCCTACTCGCCAGCTACGAATACCCCGTTTCTCCTCGACAATTCTTTGTGAATAAATCACTTGCTCCAGCTGTTTGGGTAACATTACTATGAAGGTGTAAGTAGTCATATAACATCCATAATTTGAACCAGGCTGGATTTACATGTAGCAATCCATTGCTTTTGTCATTTGATAACCCAGTATGGATAATACAAGTACGAATAAGCCAATTGGAGATCGGTAACTGAGATCAATTTTCAGTTCTTTTAAACAGCCTAACAGTTTACGTTCTTGCGCTCATTCCCCAGCCAGTAATTACTTGTCATTCGGTACGTGAAGTAACGATTAAATAGCCACTGCTTACGTCATCTCAATTCGACACTGCTTATGAGTCGAGGGTACAACAGCATGTGATTTCCAAATGTAGCTGGAATGCAGGCACCATGATCTAGTTAATCAGTTGTGTCGATTTTAATGTACAGTACACAAGCACTTGAGGTACAGCTTGTGCTGCCGATTTACGGATGCAAATGAGAGCAACTTCGGAACCAGATGTACACACCACCAAGTAAACGCAGTGGTCCCGAAGAACTTCTACACCATTTCCCGGCCAAGTTGTGCTCTTGAGCAACAGAAACAATCTGAGGGGGCATTCAACAGGAGTTTACTCACTTAATTTGTTCCGTGCGTAGGAGCTGAAGCGTCCCACCTGCACCCTTATGACTTAGTACATCTGAGCTCCAAATAACTAAAGGCGATAGGCTATACGCTCAGGCCTATACAACTGCACAAGTGACTGGCGTACGCACGGAACAAATTAACTGGGGAGACTCATGTTAAATGCCCCCTCAGATTATTTCTGTTGCCCAAGAGGACAACTTGGCCGGGAAATGGTACAGAATGTCGAATTTCCCAGTTCCACCGTTACCCCCATGGCTCAGTGTCATAAGTTGTTGGCAGGCGGTGCAAGTCGATAGTGGTTATGAATTCGGATTTTGATGCGGCCGATGGATGCGCACTGTTATCGAGACCTAACGGATTAAAATGACCGTCTAGTGCATTTTCAGGCATGTGGAGAGCTATCTAATTTAGTGGCTGCTACGAGGAACTCTTAACTAAATGGCAAATAAGCCTATCGCGTTGCTGGATACTGAGAGACCAGGTTCAGTTGTTGTTACAGATGCAACGGTACCTGTTTTGTAGCAGTAGTTGGGTGGAAGTATCCTAATGGCTACACCGATGATTACCTGGGTAGTATTACAGTAACCATGGTGCTGTCAGTTCAGTTTAACACGGAAACAATAACTGGGTAAATAATACAGCGTGCTACACTGTTGCGATCACTTTCCTTGTCTCATTTAATCAACACTTGCTTATAGTTTTGCCAACCTGGAACTTCTGTAAGATACCAAACAGCTAGTTAAAGTTAAGGAAAATATTTTGATTTTGGGAAGCAAAGGGTGAAGCCGGCTTGAGCCGGAAGCAAGGGCGTGAGGTCATGAAAGTAATTACATTTCACATAACTTTAATTTAACAACAATTAAGTCACAATAAAGTGGAAATGATGTCATGTTAGCATTAACCTGCAGGACTAGGCTAATGCCTCTGAGATGCGACAAATAAACTTTCTTAGTCGTGGTCGTGGTGCACAGAACAGAGTTGCCCGCCCCCAAAGATGTTCTACTTGGGAAATGGCTTAGGTGTTTACTGATTTTAGGAGTCAGATACTGCTCTAGAAGGCTAGAGGCGGGTTTGAAACAGTAGGACTCAGTTACGCAGTCAATGCACATTCAGAGTAGCGTCAAATGCGATAGAAACACGTGTTCTGGATGTGATCCGACGAGCTGATATGATCTCTCCATTTTGGGGGTGTGTTTTGTGCGTGACTGAATAGGACAGCGATCATCCTGTAACTTCCACAGGTAAACGTCGTTAAATACGCTTCATTATTTAAGAACAACACGGTGCGATATAAATGCAGCTCAGTCGTTTTGAACTAGTGTACGGACTTGAAATTCCCTTTGGCATTCAAACAGGTGTAATTGCACATAGAAAATATACTCATCTTAGGGACTGCTACTTGAAGATTCAGGCTGGAGATTTCCAGTATGAAGACAAGACTGATTGCAACCAACCAGATTACTCGAACTGGCTTGCACATACCGGAGATTTAGGGAATTGATGATGGCCAAACTTCACTTAGACACGACGATTTTGGCAAGTATGGGAGACGGTCATCCTCCAAATACATGATGAACTTCACGCATCTTCACTGCCAAATCCTTGTTAAAATTAATTCACATTTCTTGTGCTGTCGTTAACACCATTTTACCAGTTTATACGTTTGCAAACTAAACGTTTATCATCAGTTGTGGAATAAGAGGTTTTATCAACTTCACTCGAAAAGGATTTGCTGGAGAGGAATCCCTGTTTTTAAGTATCTGCGAACAGAAAGGCATCCCATATGGTCATATCCACGAGTTTTGCCGCTTGGATCAATAACAAGCATGCGCCGTTGAAAATCAGTTGTAAACGCGAATTTCATTTTATAAATTACGACTTAACTCGCGGTGGTTGAAGTTGGATTGATCTATTTCGGGTAATGTCGCGATGTTTGTCTGCATTAATGATATTTCAGAGATCATCAATGAAAGTGCCATTTTGGTTCGCAACGACTCATATTCAAATCCATTTAAATAAAAAGCCGAAGCTGTACATGTAGGCGTCTATTCCGATCGAGTACCCGAACGGTAAGGAAATAAGCACCTTTAAGACGCGAGCGTAACAGAATGCCCTAAATGATTACATCAGCAGATTTGTCTGTGATGTTGTCTCATTCTATCTTTCCAATTGTGCACCTATATAAATAGCAGAGTTGCAACATACATGCATCCGTTTTGTTGCTGGGGCTAGCAAATTTTCCGGTGGAATTAATCTTACTCTCTACCTAGCAGCTGTGAGATCAATGTCAATCTTTGAGGTTGATTACTGGGGAGACGGTGATTCATGCAGCCTTTGAGCAGTTAACATATCCAAGTTCCCTGGTTCTAAATTGCACCAACGATTTGAATACCTATAAGTTTTGCCGTTAGTGAAAACCTTCTGCACGGAAAAAGCAAGGCGTCGTACAAATGAAAAATAGTTACAGTCATTTAAAGACGATTTTGCAGGAAACTGTTGTATAGATAGGCTAAGTTATAAGCCAATGATATGGTTTTTCGCTTGTTTGATCTAGTTAACCAGCTTTAGTCAAATTTAACTTCACTCCAACTTCGTTTCGTTTATCTGCTTTATTCCATCAGGTTGGCGTGCCTTGCGAACTAATTCTCGAAACCCTACCACAACAGTTTGACTGCATAGAATCCAAATGGCCTCCACCGCTTTCGGAAGCAATACCGCTGCAGTTAGCTTTCAACTACGCACATATCTTTCCCGAACCTGTTACGCGATGGCTATGTTGTTTACCGAGTGAACCGGAACATGTCGCGACTGAAGTTTCCACTCCAAAAGAGGAAGCATTAGAACCGCCACAGACTGAAATTCAAGAGCCTGTTTCAGAAGACATGACGAGGTACTTGACTCTTCTGGACCAGCTGGACACTGAAGAGATGGAACTGGTTGCAGGACTTAACGCGGCTGATGTTGAGGAAGCAGTGAGCACTTTTGTGACAGAATATGTGCACGAGAAACTTGACAGTCACACCAAAGAAATGGACAACATTTTAAAGGATCAACAACTACGTCTGGCAAATTACCTTATACAGGCAGCTGGTGAAAAAATATATAAAATCAAACTAAAGCAAGAATAATGTTATTTGTGAAAGCATTTTACATTCCAAATCGAAATGCTACATGCAGCAATACCATTTTCTAATTTATTCCCTTTTGTTTGATATATATGCAGCAGTATATATATATATATATATATATATATATATATATATATATATATATATATATGCTGACGTATGTTCACTAGATAAACAGTCCATGAGGAATTAATCCGTTTTCCCAACAACTTCATGTCCCGCTATGAATGAGGGTCGTTAAAAGTTATCGTTTCATGAAGCCACGCGGGCCCGTAGTCTTAAGGATCACAAGCCTGCCTTGTAATCCGAGGGCGCGTGTTCGGGCTTGCGTAAGGACAGCGCGACCCTCCCAGTATCCTTGACCCACGTGCACCTGGTGGTGGCTGCGCGGCAACGAAACGTCGGTGCTGCGTACCGGCGTACTGCTGGTACCCTTTTGGTCTCCTGGAGCCTCATCACATGATGAACCACAATTAAAGAAACGGGACTACAGCTGTTTCTGTAGGCTCATCAAACAAACAGCATGGTGCTTGAGTAAGACTACTCCAAAGGTGGGAAATTTTGTCACTGAAATATTCGTGTCTTCGTCTTTGCAACATATACGCAAGAAAATGCTTCATTCATTTTGTTAACACATTAAATACCGGTCGACTATATGTGGAATCCATGTACGGTAAACACCATAAAATCGAAATGGACCGCACTACAAAATTATGCTATAGATCACTCGGTGATATAAGGAAAGCCATGTTGTTGGATTTCAAAGTAGTATGTTGAACGCCGTGGCATCCTTTTACTTGTTTTACAAAGCCAGGCAGTTTCGCGGAACAATCATATCCGCTTGCAAATAACATTTACGATCGCACCTACAGTAATGAGCCTGTGCTTACCATGCCTTATTATTTAGTTAGAAAATGAAAGTGATTTTTCCTGTTAGAACACTTTCGTTAATCCAAATGTTATTAGTTAATGTGAAAACAACATCGAACTATCCGTTTCGGTCACTTGTTATTCTTCGCAGTGATTGACATAAACCTCAATGTTAGAGGTGGTATGCACCATGGAATACGGCATGTCAAGCTAGCAGAAAATTCCTGAATGCACGCGTGTGATAATTAATCTCGGTGACGAGGCCGGATACATAACAATCTTCTTCTAAACAGCAGGAGGAAAGCAGGGACCGATAGGTCACTGTCAGAAATTCTAGATAAATATGACCCAAAGCATCATTTATATCCTTGCATATTAAATGCCTTTGAATTACATGTCTGTTGGCACTCACAACGTGCATTCGAAGCCACCTTATCCGGCAATCGCCTTACACACCGCTAAATCCATCGAAAGCGTGGCTCCACGATCCACTGACACACCTCCATTGTTAACGCCCTGGTATCGGATCAGCTTGTCAAATCTCCGCTTAATTACCTCATGACAATTGTATATTTTTTCATTGGGCTCCGCGACCACAAAACCTATTCGATAAACAAATAAAAGTTTAGTCTTGGCGGTACGAGACGCGCCCATTAGGGCGTGCTTAGCGAATTACGGCATTGCACAAAACACCAAACACAGGTTCATTAGGAAAATGTATGGATAACTAACAGATTTTTGGTATAGTGACAGAAATTAAAACTCAGCAAGTAATTAATAATGATAATTGATGATATCGGCAAAGCAAAAGGAAGATAGAAATGAAATAACATGAAGCGACAGCGCAACACATCTAAGGCAAAGGAAGCATTTTAAGAGAGCTCAATGGGAGTAATACCTTCTACCGTGGAACTATGTCCTTCTGATCCGCTTCCATGAGGGATTGTTCCTAGGTAGATTTCGCCCGCATCTACACACCTTATCTTGTTGGATACCAGTGTGTGGTTTAAAAACAAGCTAGCCACCACCAGTTTTACATGTCATTGGAGTTGTTTTTAATGAACCGATCAATGAAAGCAATCAGCCCGTTCCTCATTTACGGTTTTAAGCTTAAACGCGATAACAAAACTCATCTGATTTGGCGGGATACGCCAATAAATTTGAATTCGAAAGTTCGAAGTGTACCGCTGCCTGTTTTGAAAGTTCGACACACATTTTCATATATACCATTTTGTTTTTAGCTACCCGTTTTATGGGAGTAAATATTCTAATGAGAGTCTTCAGAACTTCCGCGCAAATCGGCCCAGGCGTGACCAAAACAGATACCCTTCTAGCAAAGGGCGAACGCAGATCTGTCCGACACAACTAATAATATTCATTGAATATTACCAACGTTATATAAATTACACGATAATCGTTTGTGAGGAATATTCGTCGGTGAAATTCACTAGAGAACCGTAAGCTACACTTTTTGGAGGTTTTGCTGCGACGAAGCGAAGATAGATCGCTTGCGAGAAAGGTTTGCAGAAAGAAAACTTGGATAGGTCATTAAACGCAGTTCATCAGTTTCATGCCTAATGAAAAGCAAGCGAAACTCAGTATGTTGCATTTACTACTGGTCTTCAAGGCTATGCAGTCAGAGAAGCCGGAAGCTGTAAAGGAGTTCTTACTCTGGAAAGCAACAGCTACCTAACTGCTTTCATCAAAAAGCATTCCCAGCTTCGGGGCTGTGTCGAGTCAAATATCACTCTAATAATGAAAGGTAGTTTGACTCTCAGTACCTTTCGAGGAGGACATATGGTTCGAGCTCTTGAATAAGAAATTAACTCCCGCCCGGAACCAAAACGTACCCGGCAGCTGGAGTCCGCATTCACATCGAAACTATTCAGCTTATCATCCAATGCCTAAAAGACAGAATTCCGGTCCAGTCCGGGTCCTTGGTTCTATATCAGTTCACTTGCATCTGTGGTGCGAATTCCTCGGATGCAAGCCCAGACGTTGGTTGGAGCGGATATCAGTATACTGTCCCATCTCATTACAACGTAGTGCGATCAGGAATGTTCACAGCTCCATGCTTCGGCACTTAACATTTAGTGGACATGAAAAGCGAGTGAAACATACTTTCAAAATAACGTACGCTGCGAAAAATGTTGCTTAAAAGGACTCAGAAAGCGCCCGTTACTTACAGCAGAGACCATCGTAAACAAATGGCCACATCTCGGACCGTGTGAACAGCATGGACTATGAAAAGTTTAACAGTACCGTGGCCCTAACGCGGTCAGCTAACATCAGACATATTGGTCAACGTTAGTGGGTTTAAATTATCATTTATTGACACCGCACTTCCGGTCAGAGCATAAACGACCGATCGTCGCGTTGTTAGCAACAGCTCTTAATCCAATGACTACGCAACTCGTAGTTGTAATTGTGCGATGAAATATTTTTTAAAAGAATACACGTCGCATTTTTCCCATTGACATCTGAGTGGACATACTTTCTGTGTTAAAACATGTTCAGCAAATCACTGGTTGCGGTGACCATAGATGTGTGAGGTCTGCAAACACAGCATAATAAAGTGTTTGTTAGATATATAGAAATGGTACATTACACCGAATCAAGAAAATTTTGTAGGATGGTTTATCAGAAGAGCAAAGTATGTGTCCTCGATGCAAATTACAGTCATGAGACGCTTACGATGGAAGCATACGATCATTTCGGTGGACTCTTAGGTAAAGTAGTTTCTACACCTGCAGTTTATCCTAATTTTTGAACTAAAGTTGCCAAACGGCAGTTGGGTCAAAATATTGCACGAAGTGATGGATTTATTCACTAGTATAACAGCAGAATGTGCGGTTTAAATTGTTCACGAATTTTATCACCGCCCTACAACCGAATCATGTCGGTGTATCAAAATAGGTCCCTTTTCTCAGCAGTTGTGTACAGACAATCAGTGAAACTAGTAGATTGCACACACAAAGGTAAGACAAGGTGTGCATTTTTTCTGTTTAAATAAGGGTAATCCATAACCTTATCAGGGCAGGGCGAGAGTAGTCAAAAACTCCCTCTGCTTACATAAACTCGGTTACATCCGACGAAAGGCTGAAGCGTCTGCAAACTAAAGCAGCCGAGCAGTGCTCTTTCGATGAACGATTTCGAACAATTCCCGCGATATTGGTAGGTATGATAAACAACGATATGCTGAGGTATGGAGCTTCCGGACAGCTTAGCGATATTTGTCCCCGGGTTACGTGAGACTTGTTCTGAAATCCCTCCCCCTGACAGTCTCCCCTCAGTTCGGCCCACGTTTCTGCTACCGCAAGTAAAATGAAAAAGGTGGATACAGGAGGCGGTAACTTTAGAGTCTGGCCTGTCCAGGTCGGATTTGCAGAAGAACTTATTAGCTTGTGAATAGTACTAGCTCGGCCGCATAATAGCATTTCTTAACGGACTGGAGGCGACGATATCGATGTCGCCTGTCATTCTGGTCCTCTGTGAATGGCAGCTTGATGAATACATCTGTCATACATACCTTGAATGTTTCGACGTTTGTTTAGCGCGCCGTGAACTTCCCTGGATATCCGTACTCTCGTTTCATTGCTGAGACGTGTCGCAGCTCATTGTTAATGTTCCCTTCGGAGCATTTCTTACGAGCTCTTGCGAGAATTTGGCGTGAGAGTGCTCGTTGTGTACGTAACATAACAATTTCACAGATACTCTGTAAAAAAAAACTGATGAGAAGGCACAAAATATCTGAATTCAGTTTATTCTACTGAAACGTTATGTTCGTGATTTTCGAAGTTTGTGAAGGGAAAATTCCACATGAAAAGTGTCAATATTCCGGATGGGTTTTTCCAGGTTCCCTTCAGTTTCCACGCAGCAACGACACCTCAATATGTGTTCCACATAGTACGGTAAAGAAATAGTATTTCGGACAACGGAAAATTCACCCACCATGTTTCGGACCGACACCAACCTACATCTTTTCAAGTATGGAAGATGCGTGTTTTTGATTTTCCAAAGCTTTTATCCAGAATACACCCTTTTAGGATTTTATGCAGTGAGAGTAATGAAGCAATTGATTGAGCAGATGAGCAGCTAGCTTACGATAGTAGTTAAAATATAGTAACATTTTAAATTTCTTTGTGTATCGGAAGCAACTCGTCGCTGTGCATCCTGAATGTCTCTCCGTTTAACAGGAACTAAAGTTATATTTTATGGCGTTCGTAGTTACGCGAGCAAGCTCCCAAAATAAAGTAGCAATGGCCATACATATCATCTGTTTGACAAAACCGGCGATGGATTCGCAGTTGTGAAAGTGATACGGTGATACAACCGTCTTCGTCACAATGTCCCTGCGAATCTGTTTTCTATTGTGTTTGTCAGTTTCGGCTCGGTCTGATTATGGAACCAGGGCGAAATGCTTTAATGGCATATTCTAAGTGACCACGTGATTGTATACCTGAGGTAATTCACAACCCAAAGTAAGAGTAACAGAAGGGTAGATGGTTGTCTCATTGTCATTACACACAAGCTTACATGATAAGTTTCGTGTAAATAACCTTCATTTCCCTAACCATTGCCTTCCCTATGCATTAAGACAAACGTAAGTTATCGGGGCCATTTTAGAAAGATGCGATGAGTGCTATTACTTTAATTCATCATTGTTTATAATGTTATTTTCATACTATTTTAGATCGTTAGTGACGAATTTACCTGAATCCAGTTTTAAGTCAGGCGTCTCTCAACTACTCGAATCCACAGGCAACAGGCGTCTACCTTGGGAGCTGTATCGTCTACCTTGGGAGCTGTACCGTCTACCTTGGGAGCTGTATCGTCTACCTTTGGAGCTGTATTTCTGCCGATGGCACTATCAACAAAGAAGTTTCTCTTCGTATCGCTAAAGCTCGATCGGCATTTGTCAATTTGAGGCACTTGTGGCGTCGTCGCGACGTCTCATTCTCACTAAAGGGCCGAGTTTACAGTGCATCAGTTCGCTCAATATTGTTGTATGGGTGCGAGTCCTGGCCGCTTCGCGTGGAAGACATGCGTCGTCTTTCTGCGTTCGATAGCGGTTGCTTAAGGAGGATCGCGCGTGTTTGGTGGCAACATCGAGTAAATAGTAATGACGTTCGACGTCGCGTCTTGGGGAATGCGAGTATTCCCTTCAACAAACTGGTTTTGTTGCGCCAGTTGAGATGGCTCGGTCACGTTCTACGCATGACACCTGAGCGTCTACCGCGTCGCGCTCTATTCGCTCGTCAAGGACCTGGCTGGAGGCGACCGCGTGGTGGTCAGCCTTCCACTTGGCGGCAGCACATGAAATCGCTGACGTCGTGTCTAGCCGCTGTAGGATCCGTACGTCTTCCAGGATGGGGACCCAAAGATGAGGAGTGCCAATGGCTTAGCACTCTTAAACATATGGCCCGCAACCGGAATCAGTGGAAGAATTGTGTACATTATTGTATTGATTCACATGTTTAATTCTACAAACATTAAAATGACAAAAAAAGAGCAAAACCGGCGTGTGAAAAACAAACTAAAAATGTTTGTTCTGCTTTTTATCAAAATGTTCCATTCTTCCTGCGGCATATTAGTTGAAGTGTGTTGCTCACCTTCAACTAGCATGCCACGATGATTATGACGCCATGAATCTTGCTTATCCCCTTATCTCCATGGTTTTAGGCTGGCTCTTTGTCTAGCTAATAGACTGTTGAGAATACATACATACATACATACAGGCAACAGGAGACGCACAAAGCCGTAACCTGAACCTGTGATTGAGTACGATAGAGTTTTAATGCATTATTGGAGCACAAATTTTCATTAGCGTCCTCTGCAGTTTAATTCAGCTGGATAGACGAGGAACATTGTGGAAATTAATTCTTATAAGCCGGTGGTGATGAACACCTTTTAAAACGTCATTTCACTGTCGGCAAAGTAAGACACATCGATAAAAATGTGCAGTCAAATGAAAAACATCTGCATTCGTCATAATATTTCTATTTTTGATCATGGATGAATGAGAATGAAGGATAAATATCTGTCCAAGTTTAGTTCATAGAAAACAAAAGTATGTATCGAAAATAGCTGGTGAATGTTTACAAATACTACGTATGTAAACAAATCGCAAAATAATCAAAATAAAGGGGCACCTGAGTGATAAACGGGAAGTATTGGGTTCAAAAAGCGAAAATCAAATCCCTCCAGCTTCAAAAGTGGGCAACGTTTGGTCCAGAATGAATCGCCGTTTCAAATACCTTCAAGATGGATAGAAATAAGGAAAAAACAAAAGAATTAGGCTAGAATGATGGGTGCTACCTAGGAATTAAGTAAGACAGATGAGTTTCCGAATACGCAACACGAAATGCGTTATTTAAAACATCATATTTTCCTTGGCAGTTTTTTTTGAATTTGCAATATGTCTCAAGCAGGGCGCAAAAATAGGCGAGTATTGTAGTGCAACAGAAAACATGCTCTTTCAGTATCTTGTAACATTGGATTTTATGGTTGTTTTAACCTTCGAAACGTCCATTTGTTTAACTGACTGCACATCCGTTGTCACAAACCGTTTTGGTGAGTTCCTCGCTGCACGTTTCTCGCTCTGTCTGATTCGCTTCCTATTCTTGTAGCCTGCACAATACACGTTGGGTTCAGTCTCCTCCGACTTCTATACTGTCGTATTTGACACGTCTTACGTGTCATTGCTTACCGACTAGTATCCCAGGTTCCGCCCAACAATTGGTGACCCCCTGTCAGGAACACGCCGCCCGCCATTTTGCATTTTCATTCTGGTGAGCTCGTTCCAGTGATTTTGTGATTCATTACTTGTGATCATATTGTTTTCTCACCTACCACATTTTTATCTGCTTTTTGCAATGGATAATCTAGAGGATAAGCCGTCTCCATGCGCGGTTAACGCCGTTCAGCCTGCCATGGTCAATTCGGTTGCATTGGCCCCTCCCTTTTTGGGAGAATGATCCTTTATTATGGTTTTTGCATTTAGAATCCGTATTTTATATTCGTAAGATTTCTTCTGATTTCGCCATGTATAACCAGCTAATATCTTGCCTTCCTCAGAATATATCCTCGCAGGTGAGAGACATCATACTTTGCCCCCCTCTAGTAATGAAATACGAGACACTTAAACAGGCTATTATTCAGCGAATCACGCCTTCTGACAAGGTCCGTCTGCAGCAACTATTTAGTGATCTGCAGCTAGGAGATAGGATGCCCTCAGCCTTGTTGCGCGAAATGCAACAGCTCATCGGCACGTCCAACATGGACGTAGGGATTCTCCGCGAGCTGTGGATGCAACGCCTTCCTGCAAGCACTCAAGCTATCCTTGCAGTAGCAAGTGACTTGCCAATCACGGCAATTGCAGATCTAGCAGACCGCGTCATCGAACGGCACCAACCAGAGACTGAAACCAAAGCACCCAAGCAGCTTTGCGCTGGCGCAACCACAACGACAGGCGCGACTAGCCCTCCGTCGGCAATAGACGCATTATCATTGCAGATAGCGTCGCTTCAGCGCCAGATCAAAGAACTCACCTTAAAACGTAAGCACTGCAACCGCTCTGGATCATCGCACCGTCGCACAAAACCTGATGCCTCAGGTTACTGCTTTTACCACTCGCGTTTCGGTACTAAAGCCCGTAAGTGCGTACAGCCGTGTAGCTACTCCGCTATAGATGATCCGCCACGCCGGGCTGTAATGGCCACGAACGTCGGCAAAGCTCAAAGTCGTCTCATCTACATTAGGGATTATGACTCCGATACCCAGTTCTTAGTTGATACCGGGGCGGAAGTCAGCGTCATTCCCCCTATGCCAGGTGAGCCTACCGCTTCTCTGTCGACAAGCCTCAGTGCCGCCAATGGCACGCCAATAGCCACCTATGGTCATCGGTCACTTACCCTGGACCTAGGTCTTCGGCGCACGTTCCGCTGGGTATTCACTGTCGCTGCAGTCCCCTTTGCCATCATCGGCATTGACTTTCTCAGGCATTTCGACCTCTTGGTCGATGCGAAACGCCAGATGATAGTCGACACTGCAACAAAACTCAGCGTACGTGGCATCACCGCCGATGTGACATCTATATCCCCGGTCTATGCATTTCCCCAGACCTCGTCAGCCTACGCTAATCTCCTTTCTCAGTATCCCAAGCTCGTTCAGCCAATGAACGCAGCTTTGCCCGTGGCAGCTCAAGTCACGCACCACATACGGACGAATGGCCCACCTGTGTCATGCCGTCCACGCCGACTATCGCCTGAGAAACTAAAGGTAGCTAGGGCGGAGTTTGAGCACATGCTTGAACTTGGAATAATCCGCCCTTCCGACAGCCCTTGGTCCTCGCCCCTGCAGATGGTCCCCAAGAAATCTGGTGACTGGCGCCCTTGCGGTGATTACCGCGCACTCAATCGCCTAACCGTCCCAGATAGGTATCCCATCCCACACATGCAGGACCTTACCGCATGCCTCACAGGTAAGACGATCTTCAGCAAGATCGATCTGGTTCGCGCCTATCACCAGATACCTGTGGAAGACAATGACATTCCTAAAACAGCCGTCATCACTCCTTTCGGTTTGTTTGAATTTTTAAGAATGCCATTTGGACTGTGCAACGCCGCACAAACCTTCCAACGCTTCATCCACGATGTTACTCGTGGCCTAGACTTCGCATATTCCTACCTCGATGATATCTTAGTAGCCAGTTCATCGGAACAAGAGCACCTCGAGCATCTTCGAGCTCTCTTCCAGCGCTTGACCCAACACGGTGTCACAGTCAACCCGACTAAGTGCGAACTCGGCAAATCAACGGTAGAATTCCTAGGCCACCTCGTTTCATCGTCTGGTATCGAAGTCCTTCCTGATAAGATCCAGGCAATCAAGGACTTCCCAGCTCCGACTTCCTTCAAGCACCTCCGTCGATTTTGTGGTTTGGTCAACTACTATCGACGCTTCATTCCGCGCTGCGCTCAGCTCATGCAGCCACTGACTGACCTACTCAGAGGAAATGAACGTAAGTTCGCTTTCCCTGACACAGCACAGGCAGCCTTCGCCGAGCTCAAGGATGCTATCTCCAACATAGCCCTCCTCGCTCATTCCGAATCGACTGCACCTCTTTCTATTACGACTGATGCCTCAGACGTCGCGGTAGGAGCCGTCCTCCAACAACACGTTGGTGGGCAATGGCAACCCCTTGGGTTCTTCTCCAAGCGCCTGCAGCCAGCGGAATCCCGCTACAGCACGTTTGGCAGAGAACTGCTCGCCATTTACCTAGCAATACGTCACTTCCGGCACACACTTGAAGGCCGCGCTTTCACGGTCTACACTGACCACAAGCCCCTTATCTTTGCCTTCAACTCTGCTAGCGACAAATACTCACCACGGGAAACAAGACACCTAGACTTTGTCACGCAGTTCACTGCTGACATACGTCATGTCTCAGGTGTCGACAATCCCGTCGCCGACGCTCTCTCACGCGTCAACCTCACTCTGCAGTCTTTGCCTACCGTCGACCTTGCCGCCATGGCATCGGCTCAGGCTCAAGACGAAGATATACAGCGCACTCTGCAGTCCACTTCGCTGCATGTGCAACCTGTTCCTCTCCAAACCACGGAAGGAACCATTCTTTGTGACACTTCCACAGGTTGTCCTAGACCTCTCGTGCCCGTCTCCTTCAGACGCACAGTCTTTGACGCACTGCACTCACTATCACATCCCTGGTATCCGTGCATCTTTGAAACTGGTCACCGAACGTTTCGTTTGGCCACGCGTAAACAAAGATGTTCGTACCTGGGCTCGCGCCTGCCTTCAATGCCAGCGCTCTAAAGTACATCGTCACACCCGCAGTCCTCTTGGTTCATTTCCTGCCCCGGACTCTCGGTTCTCGCATGTACACTTAGACCTGGTAGGTCCATTGCCTCCGTCACGCGGATTCGTATACATTCTTACATGTGTCGACCGCTTCACCAGATGGCCAGAAGCCATTCCCGTAACAGACTGCACAGCTGAGACTGTTATCCGGGCCTTCTTGGATCGATGGGTCTCGCACTACGGATGCCCATCCACCATCACAACTGACCGCGGAACGCCTTTCGAATCTTCACAATTCGATACGTTCTGCAACTTCTTAGGTTGTCGCCGCATTCATACCACAGCGTATCACCCAGCAGCCAACGGGTTAGTTGAACGTTTCCATAGACAGCTTAAAGCCTCGCTCTGCGCCTCCTCCGACCCTAGCTGGAGCGAAAACATTTCGCTCGTACTCTTAGGCATTCGCAGCAGCATCAAAGCTGACTTGCAATGTGCACCAGCAGAGCTGGTTTACGGCACGACGCTCAAGTTACCAGGAGAATTCGTTTCACCTCCCGCATCGTCGGGTATGCCTCCGCCTAACTTTGCGTCCTCCCTAGCTCAACGCATGCGTTCACTACGCCCGACCCCGCCCCGTGAACAGACTAGAGATGTGCAAATGCACAGCGGACTCTCTACCTGCACTCACGTCTTCCTCCGCACCGACGCAGTGCGGCGCCCTCTCCAGCCTCCCTACACTGGCCCTTTCAGAGTTCTGCAACGGACTCCGAAACATTTTACTATAGACCAGAATGGTCACCGAACAACGGTGTCCATCGACCGACTCAAAGTGGCTTTCTTTGACGAGCCACTTGCAGCTCATCCTGATGCTCTCTCACAAGCACCCGCACCTGTGGTGACTTCCCGAGCACTGGATAACCCGGATCCCTCCGTACCCCTTGACCCGCAACCTATCCCGCCGCAACCCCAGGCAACCGACCGACGCGGTAGACAGGTCAAACGTCCGGTCCGTTTTTCCGATTTTGTAAGCGTTTGCTATTTCCATTAACACGCCTTTTTCGTCTTTAATGGTTATCCTGCGTCTCACCCACAAACGTTTTGCAAAATCGACAAAAAAACCCAAAACATTTTGAAAAACCTAAAAAGCGTATTTGCTTTTATCATACATGCCATGTTCCCTCTCCGGCGTCAAGCCACTTCCCCGACCCTTGCCAACCCCCTCTGAGTTCTACCTTCCAGAAACTCAACCGCCGGAACTGCCCAGGCAACCCTCGAGTGACTCGCCAACCGGCTCAACGCAACCCTGGAGTGACTCGCCAGCCGTCCTCACCCAAGGAACAGACAGTCGCCCTCGATCGCAGACACCCACGAACGAATTGGTCCCCAAACGCCGCTTAGGCATTGCCGACGAGGACGCCGGATTTCTTCGTGGGACGAGGAC